CGATGTCGTGTGTTCTTCAGGCTATAAGGATGGTGCGCCCTAGTGCACTATAATGGTTATGGCGCTCGGGTGGTATTGTGGCTGCTGTGTGACCGTCTTTTGGTTGGTGCTTGGCCAGCCCAATTAGACTTGCCGTGCAGAATAATTTGACCAGATTGGAGAGGGAAACAGTTGAATGTTCATCATATACTTTGGTTGTGTGTGTTCTCTTTTGAGACAATCGAAAAACGTTTTCTTAAACAGCAGTATGTAAACAGCAGTATTGTAGCGTATGTAACATATTGTATTATGGAATTTAAAGCAAGCTAGGAAAAGAAAGTTAGTAGTCATATTGCAGTCCATAGAGAATACAGATAGAAATGCAATTTCACTGCACGCAAACTGTTTCTTGCCTGAGAGGAATTTTATCCCTGACATGGCTCCGGTAACTAAAACTCAAGTGTGCTATACCGTTATCTTCCACCGTTTTCAAGAGGCCGGAAATTTAAAATGAGATGTACAGAAGAGCCAAATGTCTGGCGTGCGCTCGAGAACCGTTAAAGGAAACTGCGTTCTGTCTGTCCGCATGCGCACACTCTGCTGTTCGTAAATGCACTTTTTATCATAATTATTCCATGAGAAATTGGATGCTATGCAGTAAACGGTATTTCGACTTTAGAGATTTTTGCTTCCATTTCATTTCTTTGTTATTTACTCTAAATCACAACTCGACTTACATTTTCCTCTATATTTACATCAATCAAACGATAATAAAGTATAAGGGGATAAGCGCGTTAAGTTTGATGCCGAATGCGAAGGCCCTCAGAACACTTACTGAGGGCGATTTAAAAGCTCATTTAAAGCTTATGCATTTACCTAGTTATTTATAGTTTTATGGAACATTTTATGTTCACACTGTTTTACGAAATCTGTTATTGAGAACAAGGGCGATTTCATCTTTGACAAAAATCCTATCTTCTTGTCACTAGCTTCCACCATCAACTTCTGAAAAGAAGTCCCTCGCTATCAAAAACAGGTTTAAACGAACGAAACCTCCTTGCTGCTTGACCTTAAAGGCAGGTAATTAAACACTGTTGTGCTCTTTCTTTGAAGTACGAAAAATGTAGTTTGGGTAGAAGTCCAGCTAAATATGTATTTCAGTTATACGTACATTTTTGTATATGTCTTATGTTTGTATTGTACAATTGTTTATGATTATCTCCTAAAATTATCGACTGATGAAGAAGCAGTCAGTAATGCATTGATATGTTTATAGCGTATCTTCTTCTTCTTCTTCTTTCTTCTTTTTCTTTCTTCTTCTTCTTCTTCTTCTTCAATTAAGATGCAGATCGTGGGTTACTAAAAATCAACTTACAAATACATTACGGCATTATTAGGGTAGATTCGTTGACATAATAATTTAAATAATGTATTTTTTTATTTTTATTTGATTTTAGATTTACGCTGTTTATGAACATAATTTTACCACGTTATTTTGGGGGTACTTTTAACGTTGAAGCCCTCCGGATATTTTCTAAAATTTCTCAAAAATAGACTAAATGCACTTTATTAAATGTGGCACAGGTACGATTTTCACTTGTTAATTCTAAATTTTTCGCTAAAACTGCCAAACAGTATTTGAATTTCTGTGTCCGCGTCTTCTATATAACTACAAAATTGAAGATAAAGATTTTTTCGTCATAAAATTTGTTGTCAATAATTCAGTTCCTTTATGAAGGTCATGTAGGATTCTTATGACCTCTTTAGTAGTTTTCGCGCAAGTATGCGTAGATTTATATGGTGCATGTTTAAGAAAATTACAAAAACAAGATTTTCTCAAAAATGCCTTCAATCTTTTTATATACACTTTAAAAAAATTGTCAATATTTTTGACAATCTCTTTTCATGTCACGTTTTTTCACATTATTATATTTACGAGTACGTGTTCTTTAAAATAATGTCAAATACAAGTTTTCTAAAAAAATCCACGTTTACTGTGAACACAACTCAAAATTCTGCATTTCAGAAAATTGTTCAAATTGCCATTTCTCAAAAAAAACGGCTTGCAATTATTTCTCAAAGTTCTTTGTAACGGATAGTGCTAATGGCTCTCTTTAATATGACGTAAAGTTCATTTGAGGATTTAAAAAAAAAATTACCACAGTGTAATTTATTTGATAGAATCTTTCACCGCGGCTAAACAATTGCACATTACCAGGCAAATTAGTTAAACGGCTAATTGCGTTTGATGAGTGTAAAATGATTTAAATTCACTTATAATGGGAAAGTAATTTCTAATACTCAAAACTTTTTGTGAAAAAGAGCTTCAAAAATTCCCAATTTACAATAGCGTATTGAAACGCCATTTGGCAAAAGCAGGATGTAGTTATTCGGATTAAACTACGGCCGAGGACCAAGCATTATGGAAACTAAATATGGAAAACGTCTGTGTCAATTTCTGCAGCACCACTAGTCCTGCAATCTCTTGTAACCATATTGGGAGGTTTAAAGAATTAAAACATTCTCTATTATTACTATTGAAATTCGATTAAAAAATTTCTGAATAAAAATAAGTAACAAAATTTTGAAATCAAACAACAATGTTAAATGAATGTGAAAAGGAATAGAAATGAAACAACAATGTAGAAAAGTCACTATGTACTAGTCACTAATTTGCCCCTAGAGTCCTAGATATAGAGAGTAGCGTATTCCATTGTTCTCTGATTCCACATTTTATATTCCAGTTAATCTCTTC